CTGTTGATCTTGTTGCTGTTGTTGGTGTTGATCATGCTGCTGCTGTTGATCTTGTTGCTGCTGATCATGGTCCTGTTGATCTTGCTTTTGCTGATGCTGTTGCTGATGATGACCTTGTTGCTGCTGCTGTTGTTCTCTATTCAGTTCATTCATAACTGAGTCCAACTTGGTATTCATTAGCTCCGCAAAATCAATCATTCCATCCTTGTCGTTATCGTGGTTTTCAAGCAGTTCATCTATTATTGTTATTGCTTCGCTTTCCATCAAATCTTTATCCCCTTTGTCTCCTTCATGGAAGTGTGTCAACGCTTTCAGCCACTCCAAGCCATCAAGTTTTTGGTTATTGTCATCGTCATGCAGACGGAAAAAATAGAAAATTCCTGCATAAAAATTGAATATTACAAGCCTGTAGTGATATGAATATTCAGGAGCGTTGAGGCATGCGCATTATATACATGAACACGTGGGCGACCTGATGTGAGAGTTGTTCGGATTAATTACAAGAAAATAAACACTAGATAGCTATAGAAACCCAACCGAAACTCCACCTAGAGCATGGCATACAGTTGGAACAGATTTATTCCAACTCGACGGGTCAGACTACCTCCTGATAGCTGCTTAGCTGACTGCTACTCAAAGTACAATTTTGTCAGGAAGATACCAAAGGGACAAAGAACCATAGTAGGACAGTAGTCTTACGCCTGAAACAGATCTTCAGTGAGCAAGGTATTCCCTGAGTCGTGAGATCTGATAATGGGTCCCAGTACGATGGTCAATCCTTCAGAGATTTCGCAGAGGAATACGGATTTCGACACGTCACAAGTTCCCCTAATTTTCCGCAAAGCAACGGATTCATAGAGTCACAAGTGAAGACCGTAAAGACCACCCTCAAGAAAGCACAACAGGCCAAGACTGACACGTACATGGCACTGCTTTGTCTGAGAACCACACCCATAGACAACAACTAACCGACGGCACCGGCTGAACTTCTCCTTGGACGACCCATACAAGACAACCTTCCAAGAAAGATCCAAAGAGATAACACGAGCGACGAAGCAATCGAAAGGCTTCAACATAGACAGCAACAACAGAAACATTATTATGACAGAGGTTCCAGGCCGCTTCCAGAGCTCCACTCCGGTCAACATTTAAAAAAGGTAAAAGGTAAAGGTAATTTGTTTTACTTCGATAACGCGGGGAGTGGTTGCCCAAATCTCCCGAGTCAGGGGCTCATGTTAAATGCGCTCGAAGGTGCGCCCTCTACTCCCTCTTACTACCAGTGCTCCTTTTTACAGGTATTTAAAGCTAATTAAAGCTACACAGAATAGAGAGAAGTCGAAACAGACGTGGAGTTCCTGAGGATTGAACTTTGGACCTCTAAGCTCTGAAGGCCGCGCACTAACCAACTGAGCTACGCCTGCTCCTGTCAACATTCAGGAACCTACGACCCTCAAGTGGACTCCTGCTGTAATAAAGGAAAACATTCCAATTCTTCCTCGATCATACACGGTAACAACGCCTGGAGGAAGAGACCTGAGACGCAATCGCCATCATATAAGAGAAGCACCTCTTCCGACCAAGCTCGAGGATACCCATTCCCAGCAGGATTCACCAAACGACAATGTCTCAACTCCTCAAGAGGGTCACAACACCACAAGGAGTGGGCGAACTGTACGACCACCAGTTCGTTACGGATTCGAAGAAGGTTGAACCAAGGATGCAAGAACATTAAGGAACAATATGCGTAGAACATTTTAAGTTAGTGTTACTGTTCATTATTATAAGAGAAAGAGGGATATGCATATTCAAGAGTGTTGAGCATGCGCATTATATACATGAACACGTGGGCGACTAGATGTGAGAGTTGTTGTTACAAGGAATAAACACTAGATAGAAATTAACAATACTGCCTCATCTCTCATAACAAAAATCAAAAAATCAAAAAATTGTGCTATAGTGTTTCACTGGGATTTTGGATACCAAGCTGACCATGATGTATAGTCGGATATCATGGATAAGTGGAAGAATGGTTGGATGGGCTTGGCGGATGCATGTATGGAGGAATGGATAGATCATATTAGCGGACGCACTAGGATCGGTACTGTAAGTACTTACATACATTAACTGTGCAAATTGTCCCGCATTCCTCGAATACCAAAATGGGCCTTGAGATTAACTCCAACACCTTCTAAGCTCAAGGTGTTTAAATCCTCTCTTATCATAATTCAGTATTTTCAAGACATTCACCGAGCACCGGTAGTCGACTAAGTAATAGGCCCTTTGCAGCTCAGTAATCATGTGCTGATTAATTCACTGAGAGCAAATGAATGAACATCTTGATTCCCATGGTGAGCAAACAACTTTTTTATTCACTTAGGCCCTTCTTAGGCCCTGTGTATATGCCCGCAGTTATCGATAAAAGCAAGTTGTCAATTCTTGGATAACAAAATATACGATTTTTTCTGGATCTTGTAGTTTTCTATTGTATACAAGCGTGAAGGGAGAGACCATTCTTTGGGTCTATCATGCCCGCTGCCGGATTCCCGCCGAACCTGAACTAGAGAAATCGAYCCGGAAGAGACCCGGAAGACCCGGGTGCGTCCGGAGAAACATAGCTTGGGCTACCTGTGATGGCAGGCCCGCCTATCCCCCTCCCGCCCCCGCGCAATATTTGTTGTTAATCTGTATATTGAACAGTGAAAATGTTAGGTATGTTACTAATACATATAGGGCGTTTAAACAATGTTAGAATAGCCTCAACCCCCATTATTTTTGGCCTTACTACGGGCCTATCAGGATGAATGAATGAATGATTCAGTGGTGTTCATCCGAACCTTTAGTATGATCTCCTTCTCCTATGTCAAGAACATCATCTAGGTGACCATGTCCAGCAACATCAATCAAATGCTTTCTAATGTGTCTGAAAAACAGTTTCAATGGCCATTTGTTAATTCACTTTACCTTGAATTTCAAGGCAAGGCGTTCAAAAATGAATATTGTTTTAGAAATTTTGTATTCTGTTTGCTTATAATGATGGAGTACCCGGAAACCCACAGGTTTGGTAGGAACGTTCGCGCCAGAACGCGCCTGCTTGTGGCTACCATCATTTGGGACGCTCACTATACTATAACTGAGCTGTGCTCCGATTACGACCACGTGAAACTGATGACCGGCTCGGATGGGTCTCATAGAGGGACGTTAAACATTGAGACCCACAAGCGTATCCGCATGCAGACGCAACTACTAAGTGTCACACTCTCTACATAAGGCCTTAAGTTTATTCATTTTCAATTAGTGGTTTGTCTGCCGATATTGGATCATTAAGGCTGCCTGCATGTGAACTGACACACTGTACCTTAGTCCTTCTCCATCCAGGTTCATTCTTTCTGCCATGTGTGCCAATAACTGACTGAAAAACAAGTCTAAATATAAGCACATCATCTACATTATATATTTATTCATTTAGTTACATGTATTGATTATATATTGTGACAGAATAATGCCAGAAAACTATTTACGATTGATAGAAGAGTCTTCTAGATCCCATCCACGCATACTCAGCCACAAGCAACCCAAGCAACCTTTCCCACCACCACTTACCGCCCTCCTTCCCACGCGGGACATTTGTTACCTCGATCCGAATTCGCTTTTATGCCTTTTTTTTCGGCCGTTTCAACCTCTACCCTTCCCTCTGTCCTGGCTCTCTCTTCTACTTATATCTTTCCGTTGTTTCTCCTTTTATTTTGCCGTTTCTCCCTCCTCCCTCAGTAATCCGTTCCTCTTCTTTCTACTTAAAACGCTTGTTGCCTTTTCCGTAGAAGTTTTGCTACGGCACCAAAGTAAATTTACAACCTCTTTTTAGTTCGAATATTATAGGTTACTGGCCACGTCAGAGTCAAAGTTGCTGTGCACACCTTGAATATATACAAAAACTTATGAAATGCTGTATAGTTAGATTGCCCAAAATTTTCACTAAAGGTTTTTAGTAACCAGCATAGAGTTTTGATATATGATAAAAAAATTCCTTAAACCTATATGTAAATAACTTAAAAAACAGGATACAATCTAAAGACGAATATTAATGACCCAATCACACAAGTTTATCGAAACATCAGTAAAAAGACTCTTCAAAATTTAATACCTATATTTTTATCACGGATTTGAATATTTTCCCCTGAAAAATAAAAGGCAACTAATCTAACAATTGAAATAGTAAATAGTGGAAACAATATCCTACCTCGGTTTAGCTGCCAGTTTTTTATCTAACTCTTTATTGTCTTGCTCCGATTCTTGTCGACTTTCAGCTTTTTTATGACTATTATATTGTTGCCCGTAAATATCACTAGCTATCGAACACATAAAAAGTACCAAAATAATACTAAATCGACCCATGAGGAATACACTAAATGTGAAGAATATACGTAAATATAAATAAAATGCGAGTTTTTTGGAGATTGAAACGTGTACTGTTGCTATGAAAACCAGAATGAGCCATAAATCATTCCATCCCGCTATGGCCTTGGTAAACGTAAGATATGCTAAATCAGTTATAATCTCGGTCGGAACAACTTTTCACGCAGTTTTGAAACTAAAAATTTACCAGAACAATTTCTCCTCTATATGAGCTCTTTTCTAATTTGGTTGATTATAATTAATTCTACGCTATGATCGTAGAACTCACTCAACAAATATTGACGAAAGTGCATTTTGGGTAGGCCTATGCATTTACAGTCAATTCAAAAAACGTTGTCGTCGACCGGCTCAAGCCTACGCGACTGGACCGAAAGGAAATCTGGGTAGCAATCATTGAAGCCGAGTTGACTCCATAATTTTATTCTGACTAGTTATGCTTACAGCACGAACCTTCGTAGGCGAGCGGGAAGTGTCGAAGGAGACTTTTTTTTAATGCCTTCATATTTTCGAAATTGTGAACTGAATCATAACTACTTGGTTTTTCTTTCTCTAAACCCAAAGACATACCTTTGATGGATTGTTTCTCGCCATTATTATCTTTATTACTAGCGGGAACAATTAATTCAGAACGAAAATTTAACCGCTTCAGTGATTTTTTACCCACATTCCTTTCGGTCCAGTCGCGTAGGCTTGAGCCGGTCGACGAAAACGTTTTCTGAATTGACTGCATGCATGGTTTTAATATGTTCCTTTCTGTAGTCCTTACTCTCTGCCTCATTATTTGTCTGTCATTATTCTCTCAAAACTTTTTATATTTCTATCGATAAGCTTAATTTATTTTAATGC